CGTTCATACTCACCATCCTTCTTCACTCAGAGTCCATTCATCCACTCATTCATACTCACTATCCTTCTTCACTCAGTCCATTCATTCACTCATTCATAGTCGCTATCCTTCTTCACTCAGTCCATCCACTCGTTCATACTCACCATCCTTCTTCACTCAGAGTCTATTCATTCCCTCATTCATACTCACTATCCTTCTTCACTCAGTCCATCCACTCGTTCATACTCACCATCCTTCTTCACTCAGAGTCTATTCATTCCCTCATTCATACTCACTATCCTTCTTCACTCAGTCCATCCACTCGTTCATACTCGCCATCCTTCTTCATACATTGTTCATTCACTCGTTCACACTCACCATCCTTCTTCACCCATAGTCCATTCACTCACTCATTCGTACTCACTATTCTTCTTTACTCAGTCCATCCACTCGTCCATCCACATCTTCACTCAGTCCATTCATTCACTCATTCATACTCACTATCCTTCTTCACTCAGTCCATTCATCCACTCATTCATACTCACTATCCTTCTTCACTCAGTCCATTCATTCACTCATTCATAGTCGCTATCCTTCTTCACTCAGTCCATTCACTCATTCATACTCACTATCCTTCTTCACTCAGTCCATTCACTCATTCACACTCACCATCCTGCTTCACCCATAGTCCATTCATTCACTCATTCATACTCACTATCCTTCTTCACTCAGTCCATTCACTCACTCATTCATACTCACTATCCTTCTTCACTCAGAGTCCATTCATCCACTCATCCATACTCACTATCCTTCTTCACTCAGAGTCCATTCATTCACTCATTCATACTCACTATCCTTCTTCACTCAGTCCATTCACACCCATAGTCCATTCACTCACTCATTCATACTCACCATCCTTCTTCATTCATAGTCCATTCACTCACTCATTCATACTCACTATCCTTCTTTACTCAGTCCATCCACTCGTTCATCCACTCACCATCCACTCACCATCCTTCTTCACTCAGAGTCCATTCACTCACTCATTCATACTCACCATCCTTCTTCACTCAGTCATTCATACTCACCATCCTTCTTCATTCATAGTCCATTCACTCACTCATTCATACTCACTATCCTTCTTTACTCAGTCCATCCACTCGTTCATCCACTCACCATCCACTCACCATCCTCTTCACTCAGAGTCCATTCATTCACTCATTCATACTCAGTATCCTTCTACACTCAGAGTCCATTCATTCACTCTTTCATACTCACCATTTTTCTTCACTCAGTCCATTCACTCGTTCACACTCACTCTTTCATACTCACTATCCTTCTTCACTCAGAGTCCATTCATTCTTCACTCAGTCCATTCAGGGGAATGCGGAGTCTGGACACCCGCCTCTTTCTCCAAGAGACGGAAAGATATTGCAAATGTGTGGGGAGCACGATCTGACCCGTGTGTGGGTCTCGTCTCCAGGAGTAGGAAGAAGGGGTGGTAGAATGAATGTATGTGTGAGTGAATATGGAGTGAAATGTAATATATCCTTTGTTTGCATAACTAATGTAGTTATATAGTCTATGTCTCTACTTTCATTCTGTAAAGTGCCTGATATACTCTGGAAATTGAATAGAAGAACATTTCAAAACCTTATTCATGACACTTTAGCACTTTAGGGCTGGCCTAGATGGCCTTTGGGATCCCTTCCGACGCCAATTGATTGGCCGGTAATACCTGAAAGGATCCCACTCGTATATGACAAGCTCCTCGTTTGAAGCCGAACCAGATTCAGCAAAATATACAGGAGGAGACGGGGAAAAGTTGGCCATCCATTGGCCAACGAACTAGGACTATTTCTCCTCCTTGGATGTTGATGTTGGGCTACAAAACACAGGGTCGGTGGTCTTTTTTCTTTAGATCATAGCGCATGCAAAGAAACGGGGAAATGACGAGGTCCCCGATCCAAACCGTACAGACATCGAAAAGCACTTGAGGGTGGGTTTTCCCAGCTTGGACACCAAACACAGACGGGAAATCACAGGACAACATGCTTAAGTTCGACGTTGGGATGGAGTCGTCCAAATAGGAGGACGGGGAACCAGGGGTGGCTCATCCATTATGCATAGTACGCAGTTGCGGTACACCTTTTTTTGCCAGGGGTGCAAAGGCGCCTCTGTAAATACCCCTCGACCGCCACTTGAGGAATGCCCCCTTGGCTCACAACAGCCCTAGCAATCCGGGGGGAGCCTCGGCTTCCTTGATCCTCTTCCCGAAGGGGCTGGGCCCTTGACCCTCATCTAGCCCCTCTCGTTCCTGCTCCATATCAATCTCTTTCATACCCATCGCCTCTTCTTTTTCCCCACAAGGATGTGGGGTTGTTATTATTGCCTTGATGTTGCCCTCCCTCCCCATGGAAATCTTACGTCGATGGACTACAACTACCAAAACATTCCAGTTGGACGGACCAATTTGTCCAAAAGCAATTCCATGGGGGATAGACATGCAAACAAGCTGGAGCATGGATTGAGACTTTACACACAACCCAAGGAAATTGACTGAGTTGTTCCACCCCTCCATGCACCCAAAATACCTATTTTTTTGGCCCCGTATTGCCTGAAATGGAGACAGGAAGATTCGTGACATCCCATCACCATTTGGGCTGAGATTTGAGAAGACTGGCACTTTATAGTTCCAGGCTTCAACATGTTTTGGAATCTCTGGGTACTTTTTAATCCCATTTTTGAGACAAATAGGGTGGGAACAGGTCATGAGCTCGAGGGGAGATGTTCAAAGTGAGGCCTACAGCATGAACCTTCTCCTGCTATGAGGTTTCCTTTGGATTCAGACCTCGTCTGAGACACAATTGAGTCTACTGTGGCCCAAGACTACCTACCCACGGCAAGTGGCTTCCTTTCTCAAGCCCTCATCCTGACACAACTGGCCTTTATAATTGTGGAGGGAAGTGGCCTGGCACCCAAAATACCTATTGCTCGAAATGGAGACAGGAAGAGACGTGACATCCCATCACCATTTGGGCTGAGATTTGAGAAGACTGGCACTTTATGGTTCCAGGCTTCAACGTGTTTTGGAATCTCTGGGTACTTCTTAATCCCATTTTTGAGACAAATAGGGTGGGAACAGGTTGTGAGCCCAAGGGGAGATGTTCAAAGTGAGGCCTACAGCATGAACCTTCTCCTGCTACGAGGTTTCCTTTGGATTCGGATCTTGTCTGAGACACAGTTGAGTTCACTGTGGCCCAAGACTACCTACCCACGGCAAGTGGCTTCCTTTCTCAAGTCCTCACCCTGACACAACTGGCCTTCATAATCGGGGAGGGAAGTGGCCTGGTGGAATGGGATCCCGTCCTTTCTGGTGACATCTGAACTGATGAAACATCTGATGGTTCAAGGTGCCACCATCAGGTTTGGTTAAGGGAGATACCAAAGAAGAGAAGAAACTCCACTGGTTGATAGGTAAGCTACACCCCATAGCTTTCTATTCTCACCACCACCACCACCACCACCACCACCACCACCTCCTCCACCACCACCTCCACCACCACCATATTTTTGGGACAAAGCTTCAAGCACAGAGCTTTTAAAGTGAACCAGTAAAACATTAAACATTGGGAGCGATTGCACACGCAAGAGCAGCACTTGGGTTACTTTTGGCGGAGGAAGGGGTCCATTAGGTACCCACTTCCCATACCGGCCATTGTCCTCCATGTCGGTGGGGCGATGAATCCCTTCCTGGTATCAGATGGCTTTAGAGGAGCTTTTCAAGATGGTAAACCCAAATTGAGGAGAACATTAGATGTTCTACACAGTTGGGTCTAGCATCAAAATTGCTTTGCTGTTGCATCCCTCACAGTTCACTGTGACGACCCTCACTATGTCCCTTCTGTTGGTCTTGGAGAGCTTTGGAAATAGGAAAGAACTATGGGAATGTAGACCAAGAGTATGTCGCATTGAGATCAGGTGGGATCCTTCTGAGATGATGTCATCAACCTGGGGACATAGTTGGACTCTACTCTAACTCAGAATATGCTCCACCAACCACAAAATGGAAGTGGAAGTGGGTCAATTAGAATCCAACTGGGAGAACTGAGAGGAGATGTTCTTCTTTCTGGTGGCATCTGAACCGATTAAACATCTGATGGTTCAAGGTGCCACCATCAGGTCTTGTTAAGGGAAGAAACTCCACTGGTTGATAGGTAAGCTACACCCCATATGGATGTGGAAGTGGGTCAATTACAATCCAACTGGAAGAACTGAGGGGAGATGTTCAAAGTGAGGCCTACAGCATGAACCTTCTCCTGCTACGAGCGGAGAGAAGGGTTTGTTTAGATTTGGACCTCATCTGAGACACAGTTGTAGCCCAAGACTGGGGTAATCCTACCCATGGCAAGTAGTTTCCTTTCTCAAGTCCTCATCCTGACACAACTGGCCTTCATATTCGGAGAGGGTGACATCATTTCCCCAAACCACAATGCAGTGTTTCCTTTGAATATACCTCCATAGTCTTGATGTGGACCAAAGACATCTTACTCCAAGGTTTTGTTGAACCTTGATATATGGAAATGGAATGGTGATATATGGAAATGGAAGTCCACCTAAGGCTTATGTAGGTATGGAAGTCCACCTAAGGTTTATGTAGGCTGGAATGGGATCCCGTCCTTCTTTCTGATGGCATCTGAACTGTTAAACATCTGATGGTTCAAGGTGCCACCATCAGGTCTTGTTAAGGGAAGAAACTCCACTGGTTGATAGGTAAGCTACACCCCATATGGATGTGGAAGTGGGTCAGTTACAATCCAACTGGGAGAACTGAGGGGAGATGTTCAAAGTGAGGCCTACAGCACGAACCTTCTCCTGCTATGAGCTGAGAGAAAGGGTTTGCTTTAGATTTGGACCTCCTCTGAGACACAGTTGTGGCCCAAGACTGGGGTAATCCTACCCACGGCAAGTAGTTTCCTCTCTCAAGTCCTCATCCTGACACAAAGGCCTTCTGAGATTAAACATCTGATGGTTCAAGGTGCCACCATCAGGTCTTGTTAAGGGAAGAAACTCCACTGGTTGATAGGTAAGCTACACCCCATATGGATGTGGAAGTGGGTCAGTTACAATCCAACTGGGAGAACTGAGGGGAGATGTTCAAAGTGAGGCCTACAGCACGAACCTTCTCCTGCTACGAGCTGAGAGAAAGGGTTTGTTTAGATTTGGACCTCATCTGAGACACAGTTGTGGCCCAAGACTGGGGTAATCCTACCCACGGCAAGTAGTTTCCTCTCTCAAGTCCTCATCCTGACACAACTGGCCTTCATAATCGGAGAAGGTGACATCATTTCCCCAAATCACAATGCAGTGTTCCTTTGAATATACCTCCATAGTCTTGATGTGGACCAAAGACATCTTACTCCAAGGTTTTGTTGAACCTTGATATATGGAAATGGAATGGTGATATATGGAAATGGAAGTCCACCTAAGGCTTATGTAGGTATGGAAGTCCACCTAAGGTTTATATAGGCCGGAATTGGATCCCGTCCTTCTTTCTGGTGGCATCTGAACCGATGAAACATCTGAAGGGTCAAGCTGCCACCATCAGGTTTGGTTAAGGGAGATGCCAAAGATGGGAAGACACTCCACTGGTTGATAGGAAGCTACACCCATATGGATGTGGAAGTGGGTCAATTACAATCCAACTGGGAGAATCGATGTGGAAGTGGGTCAATTACAATCCATCTGGGAGAACTGAGGGAGAACTGAGGAGAGATGTTCAATTACAATCCAACTGGGAGAGCTTACTACCTACCTACTACCTACATAAGCCTTAGGTGGACTTCCATTTCCATATCTCACCATTCCATTTCCATATATCAAGGTTCAACAAAACCTTGGAGTAAGATGTCCTTGGTCTACATCAAGACTATGGCACAATTCTCCTTGGAGTAAGATGTCCTTGGTCCACATCAAGATAGTCAAAGGTAGCCAGATGGAGACTATGTTGCATTGAGATGAGCTTGGGAGCCTTCAGAAGGCTGAGTGGATGATGTCACCAATCTGTGCCTGGATATGGGGACATCCTACTCTAAGTCCCAATACTCTCCACCAGACTGTAGATGTGGGTCTATCACAGTGAGGCCGTGAATTGGGAAGATGTCTGAATACATTGGAGAGAGGAAGTCAACGCCAACCTCCGTATCCACATAGATGTTCCTACACCATCAAAGGGAAGCCACCTGAAGGTCCTGATCCGGATTCGCTGCCCCACGGATATGGAGGCCACCGACCACTAATGCTCTCTACCTCTAAACACATTGAGACACGACCATGGTGATAACTGGGAGACAACATGACACATAAGTCTCATGTGCATATGCTCAGGCCACACCAAGAGTGGGGGAGCTCCCCACGGAGACAAAGAGACACCATTCACGGGGCAAACACGGCACGGGCTCACACGCATGCGGATGGAGGTGGAGCATCGGGGGGCTTCCGTTCCCCGCCTGCGGTATTTACAGCGCGAGACGCAGAAGGACATGTCTCTGGAGGTTCGGGCGCGGCTCTTTCCAGCACCGCCCCCTTGTGCAAGCCATGCAGGGTGGCCAACTGGCCATCGGGGTCAACTTCTGCGCCTTCAGCGGCCACTCGACCTGCAAGTCGAACAGCCGCTCGAGGCGTTTCCGACGGCTCTCCATTTGCGTGGAGTAGTCCCTTCAGCACAGTGGCGGCGGCCCCGTCACTGCTTGAAGGCCGACTGGAGCTCTTTGAAGGCCGCTTTGCGTTGCTTCATCTCCTCCGCCTGCCGCCGCTTCTCCTCTTGCTCTGCCTTGATCTCCTCCTCAAAACGGCTGGTGACGTTCATGGCTTGGACCTGCAAGAGGGAACAACATCGGCGGAAGGCATTAAAGAAGACCCATGTTTTGGCCTCTACTCATCCAAATCTCTCCCGCTGCCATGGCGTGAAATGAGGGCAATGTCTGGATGCCCCGGGTATCCCCATTTATTGTTCTCATGCACTACCAAAGAATAAGAAATGATCACAAAGGGGCTAGACCTAGGAAAAATCTCTCTATCTATCCATCCATCCATCCATCTCTTGGGGTTTGGATGCCTTTGAGGCCTCTTCCAACTATCTATCAAACATCTGTCTGACTATTTATCTGTCTATTTACAACTCCCAGAAATCACAGCCAGTTTACCAGCTGTTAGGATTTCTGGGAGTTGAAGGCCAAAACACCTGGAGACCCACAGGTTGAGAAGCACTGATCTAGAGCAAACTTGCCCAACAGAACAAACTATAAGTACTGTAGTGCAGCGGGGTGGTCGGTACACTAACAGAATCCGTAGTTTGTTTGTTTGGGCCTAACCTGGTATGATGCGATAGTTCACCCACAACCTTATGCATTTTGTATAATTAAAGAGTCCTTCCTGGAGGGTCGATCCCAGATGGTGAAGCTGGGAGATACCTGCTCGGACCCCTGGCCGTTGACCTGTGGGGTCCCGCAAGGCTCTATCTTGTCTTCCATGCTTTTCAACATCTACATGAAACCGCTGGGAGAGGTCATTTTGGAGTTGGGTGCCATCTCTTTGCAGATGACACACAACTCTACTACTCTTTTCCACCTAATTCCAAGGAAGCCCCTCAGGTGCTGGACGAGTGCCTGGCTACTGTGGTGGTCTAGGTGCATCATCGGTGGGGTTCAGTGTGCCACAACAAAGTCATGCTCCCAAGGCCCATCCCAGAGAGTCATTCCAGAAGGATATCATGATTGATGGTATCGAAAGCCGCTGAGATGTCCAACAGAACCAACAGGGTCACACTCCCCCTGTCCAGCTCCCTGCGGAGGTCATCCACCAAGGTGACCAAAGCCGTCTCGGTGCCGTGACCAGGCCTGAAGCCAGACTGTGACTGGTCCAGGGCTAATTGTGACTGGTCCAGGTTTTCTGGGCTAATTGAATAAAAATGGGACATGGCAGTGAGCCGCAACAATCGCCTTTCAATGAATATGGTTCAGGAGCTGGGCTTTTGACTAGAGGTGCATCTACACTGGTGAAGGAGTGCCATTTGACCTCACTTGAGTCTACATCCTGTTGACCCAACTACCCAACAATTGGCCCATTCTAGTTGACTCAACCATCCAACCATTGGCCCACTCTAGTTGACTCAACTATTCAACTACTGGTCTACTTGTATTAAATCAATTATCCAACCATTGGCCCACTCGAGTTGACCCAACTATCCAACCATTGGCCTTCCCATATTGATTCAACTTGCCATGGCTCAATGCTATGAGATCTCCTGTGTTGTCATTGTGATAGAGAAGGTTCAAGACCTTATCTAAGTTTCTCAGGAAACTTTATGGGAGCCTTACTTTGGCCTCGAAGAAGTTTTTGGCCCCTTTGACCCCTTCCGTTGAGACGTCGATCTCTGACAGCCGGGCCAAGGCATGCAAGCCACTGTCTTCCTCCAACTCTCCAGCAGCGGCTTTGCGGAAAATCAGGAGAAACTGAAAGATAGCGAGAAGGAATGCAAAACGAAGTGAGTTCCATTGCAACTGCACAATTGCTAGAGGTCAAGGAATCGACAGGTCTCCAAGCTCAATTTCTGTCCACATCTTGACATCTCTTGGACCTCCTTAGCCAATATTTATGTGCACCAACACCTCTTGTAAAGTTGCTCCCACTGAACTTAAAGACCCACCTCTTCTGATTCCTCATTCGGTCTTACCTCTCGGAAGGAGAGCTTGCCATCAAAGTCTTCATCCACCTCCTTAATCATGTTCTTCAAGCCAAGGTGTGTCTGCGGAGCGCCAAGTTTCTCCATCATCCGTTTCAGCTCCATCAGGTCAATGAAGCCGTCTTTCCCTGCGTCGTACCTACAAAGCCAACCAAGAGATCAGAGTTAATTTTCAACTAAAATGAAGAAGACCACGTTGAGAAAAGTCAGGAAAAGTGGTCGCTCTATCAACAACTCATGAGTCAGAGGCCTAATCCAATGATAGTGTGAAAGCAGACCAATTGGAACACTTGGGGTCTACATCCGTGTTGACTTAATTACCCAACCATTGGCCCATTCTAGTTGACTCAAACATCCAACCATTGACCCACTCTAGTTGACTCAACTATTCAACTACTGGTCTACTTGTATTAAATCAATTATCCAACTATTGGCCCACATGAGTTGATTCAACTATTCAACCATTGGCCTTCCCATATTGACTCAACTACCCAACCATTGGCCCACTCTAGTTTACTCAATTATCAAACCACTCAAGTTGACTCACCTATCCAACCACTGGTCCTCTCATATTGACTCAACATTCCTACTACTGACCCACTCTAGTTGACTGAACTATCCAACCACTGGTCTACTCATGTTAATTATCCAACCACTGGTCTACTCATATTGACTCAACCACCCAACCATTGGCCCACTCTCGTTTACTCAATTATCAAACCACTCAAGATTACTCACCTATCCAACCACTGGTCTCCTCATATTGACCCAACTATCCTACTACTGACCCACTCTAGTTGACTGAACTATCCAACCACTGGTCTACTCATGTTAACTCAATTATCCAACCACTGGTCTACTCATATTGACTCAACCACCCAACCATTGGCCCACTCTAGTTTACTCAATTATCAAACCACTCAAGTTGACTCACCTATCCAACCACTGGTCTTCTCATATTGACTCAACTATCCTATTACTGACTCACTCTAGTTGACTGAACTATCCAACCACTTTAGTTGACTCAGCTATCCAACCACTGGTCTACTCATATGACTCAACCACCCAACCATTGGCCCACTCTAGTTTACTCAGTTATCAAACCACTCAAGTTGACTCACCTATCCAACCACTGGTCCTCTCATATTGACTCAACTATCCTACTACTCACCCACTCTAGTTGACTGAACTATCCAACCACTGGTCTACTCATGTTAATTATCCAACCACTGGTCTACTCATATTGACTCAACCACCCAACCATTGGCCCACTCTCGTTTACTCAATTATCAAACCACTCAAGTTGACTCAGCTATCCAACCACTGGTCTCCTCATATTGGTTCAACTATCTAACCAGTCAATACGAGTCAACTCGTGTTCATGCAACTATCCAACCATTGGTGGGTTAATGGTGGGATCAAGTAGAGTGGGCCAATGATTGGGTAGTTGAGTCAATATGAGTAGGCCAATGGTTGGATAGTTGGGTCAGGTAGTGTGGGCTAGTAGTAGGATAGTTGAGTCAATATGGGAAGACTAGTGGTTGGATAGTTGAGTCAACAAGAGTGGTTGGGTAGTTGACCCAACCATTGACCCACTATAGTTGACTCAACCACCCAACCATTGGCCCACTCTCGTTTACTCAATTGTCAAACCACTCAAGATTACTCACCTATCCAACCACTGGTCTCCTCATATTGGCTCAACTATCTAACCAGTCAATATGAGTCAACTCTTGTTGATGCAACTATCCAAACATTGGTGGGTTAATGGTGGGATCAACTAGAGTGGGCCAATGGTTGGCTAGTTGAGTCAATATGAGTAGACCAATGGTTGGATAGTCGGGTCAGGTAGAGTGGGTTAGTAATAGGATAGTTGAGTCAATATGAGAAGAGTAGTGGTTGGATAGTTGAGTCAACAAGAGTGATTGGGTAGTTGACCCAACCATTGACCCACTATAGGTGACTCAACCACCCAACCATTGGCCCACTCTAGTTTACTCAATTATCAAACCACTCAAGTTGACTCACCTATCCAACCACTCGTCTCCTCATATTGGCTCAACTATCTAAATAGTCAATATGAGTCCAGTCTTGTTGATGCAACTATCCAACCATTGGTGGGATCAACTAGAGTGGGCCAATGGTTGGGTAGTTGAGTCAATATGAGTAAGCCAATGGTTGGATAGTCGGGTCAGGTAGAGTGGGCTAGTAGTAGGATAGTTGAGTCAATATGAGAAGACTAGTGGTTGGATAGTTGAGTGAACAAGAGTGGGGGTAGTTGAGTAGGCCAATGGTTGGATAGTTGGGTCAGGTAGAGTGGGCTAGTAGTAGGATAGTTGAGTCAATATGAGAATAGTGGTTGGATAGGTGAACAAGAGTGGTTGGGTAGTTGACCCAACCATTGACCCACTATAGTTGACTCAGCTACCTAACCATTGGCCTACTCTAGTTGTCCTAACCATCCAACCATTGGCCCACTCTAGTTACTTCAACTATCCAACAATTGGTGTACTCACATAGACTCAACTATCCAACCCATTAACTCAAGTACCCAACACTAGCAGTTTGACACCACTTTAACCACCATTACTCAATGCTATGGAGTCCTATGGAGTTGTAGTTTGAGGTGGCATCAGTCCTCTTGGGCGAAAAAAGGCAAAAGGCCTTTGAAACGACAACACCTGTGATTCCATAATAGTTTAAGTGGTGCTAAGTGGTGCTACGCTCCATCCAGTTTGCAGTGTACTCCCAAGATTTGAGTCAGTCCTTGTCAACAACGTGAAGATCACCGAATATATTGGTTCTAGGAGTCTCCTTGAGTGGTGAAATTTCCCCCCGTTTCTTCCCTTGGTACACAAATGGCCCGCCTTCGGCTTACAAAATTATCAGTGCGGAATAATAAGACTTAATTGGCGTTTCCTGCAGCAAGAACAAACATACAGTCTGGGCTGATCCTGGAGCAAGCAGACTCTTGCCGACCCACCAAAGACTGTATTTGCTTTTTCTATCTCTGAAAGACGTGGCGTGGTTATAGATTAACTTGAGACACAGAGCAGAACGGCACCTTTGACACCACTTTGACTCCGGTGGCTCAATGCAATGGAATCCTAGCCGTTGTAGTTTGGCCGAGAAAGCAGACGTCCTTGCAAAGTTACAACTCCCAGGATCCAGTAGCAATAATAATAATAATAATAATAATAATAATACTTTATTTGTACCCCGCTACCATCTCCCCAAGGGACTCGGTGCGGCTTATATGAGGCCGTGCCCAAACACAACAATACTAGCAATAATAACAACAATACAAGCAATTAAAAACAACAATATCAATAAAACAACACATAGTTAAAAACAGTGGGGAGGCCAAATGTTAAGTTTAAAATTGGAAATAATGCTGGGACATGATCAGAAGGTGATACTGGTGAATTGAACTTCTAACTGAGCTAAGACTCAAAAGAGACATGCACAAGAAGTGGAAAAAGGGAGAAATCACCAAAGAAGAATTCAAACAAATAGCCAACTCCTGCAGGGAAAAGATCCGCAAGGCTAAAGCTCAAAACGAGCTCAGGCTTGCTAGGGACATTAAAAACAATAAAAAGGGCTTCTTTTCTTATGTCAGTAGAAAAAGGAAGAACAAAAAGAAGAGGCGATAGGGCCTCTTCGAGGAGAAGATGGGGCAATGCTGACAGGGAATGATAGGGAAAAGGCAGAACTACTTAATGCCTTCTTTGCCTTGGTCTTCTCACACAAAAAAAGGTCATCTTCAACCTCACCAAGATGGAGTGGATGAGGGATTTGAGGACATCCAACCCCAAATTGGGAAACAAGTCGTACAGGAATACCTGGCCGCTCTAAATGAGTCCAAGTCCCCTTTCAGGGCCAGATCAACTCCACCCAAGAGTACTGAAGGAACTAGTGGAAGTCATCTCGGAACCATTGGCAATCATCTTGGAGAGTCCTTGGAGAACGGGAGAAGTTCCAGCAGATTGGAGGAGGGCCAATGTGGTCCCAGTGTACCTGGATTTCAGGAAGGCCTTCGACAAGAGCGACTAAAATGATCAAGGGTCTGGAGAACAAGCCCTATGAAGAGCGGCTTAAAGAGCTGAGCATGTTTAGCCTGAAGAAGAGAAGGCTGAGAGGAGACATGATAGCCATGTATAAATATGTGAGAGGAAGTCACAGGGAGGAGGGAGCAAGCTTCCTTTCTGCTTCCCTGGAGACTAGGACGCAAAGGAACAATGGCTTCAAACTACAAGAGAGGAGATTCCATCTGAACATGAGGAAGAACTTCCTGACTGTGAGAGCCGTTCAGCAGTGGAACTCTCTGCCCCGGAGTGTGGTGGAGGCTCCTTCTTTGGAAGCTTTTAACAGAGGCTGGATGGCCATCTGTCAGGGGTGATTTGAATGCAATTTCCTGCTTCTTGGCAGAATGAGGTTGGATTGGATGGCCCATGAGGTCTCTTCCAACTCTTTGATTCTATGATTAGTTGGGGAAGACCTGCTCTTTCTGAAAGATAACAGCTCAGGGTTAGGGTAAAAGATCCCAGGATTTTTCTGCCGTTGGGAATAAGTTAACTTGGTAACTGAAGGAAAAAGGAAAGATTATTTTCTCTTAGCCACTCGTTGTTGTTGCTGTTTACATTATTAGTATTAGTATTATTAGTATTATTGATAGTATTATTATCAGACCTCACAACCTCTGGGGAACCCTGATGTTCTTTCTTTCCTTTTTCCTTCAGTTACCAAGTTAACTTATCCCCAATGGCAGAAAAATCCTGGGATCTTTTACCCTAACCTTGAGCTGTTATCTTTCAGAAAGAGCAGGTCTTCCCCTATCTAAGCTCAAGATTAGTTTTGGAGATGGTGATTGATTTTGTCATTACGAGTTGTAGTTGCTGGGATTTATAGTTCACCCACAATCAAATAACATTCTGATCTCCACCAACGATGGAATTGAACCAAACATGGCACACAGAACTCCTTTGACCAACAGAAAATACTGGAAGGGTTTGGTGGGCATTAACCTTGAGTTTGGGATTTGTAGTTCACCTACATCCAGAGACTCAAACAATGATGGATCTGGATCTAACTTGTCATGAATACTCAGTATGCCCAAATGTGAACACTGATGGAGTTGGG